TTTCCTTATGTCAAACACTACAACTTTGATTTAGTGTCTCGGAATCAACATGAAAGACCAACTGATCGCCTCCGCCTTGTCCAAGACCCCTCGGCAGGGCCTCGGACGTACAATTCCTTCTCCGCCTCGGTCCGAGGCCGGCTCGATCCCGCATCCTCGTCGCCTCCGCCTCAACCGTCCCTCCCACTGCGAGCCGCCCCATCCGTTTAAGTGTGCTGGTCACACCTACTACGCCAGCCATGATCAATAGGCGGGTACAACAACAACGAGGCGATGGGACAGCGGTCAAATCTCCTTTTACCATCCCCACTTGACGGCAGGGGGTTACCATGCCACTCAGGGACACATGCTCCGCACTTTTCCACCTAAACCGGTAATGACGCTGACCACCAAGACCTCCGCATCATACACGGGTCACCTCAGGAGGCCTCGGCAAGCGCAGCCTCGGCACGATCACCACTGAGACTCCGCCGAGCCCTCGGCACTCCGCCAAGTCAAGAATCCACAAGGCATGGTATCGCCTCCTACAAAGGAGGTCATATCGACTAGACGTCAACAAGGACTCCCACGACCTCAAACAACCTCGGGCACTGCCAAAGACGATCGCGCCAGCCAAGCACCGATCGCCATTCCCAACACCATGTCACTCTGACAGGATCGAACTACTGATGAGGCTCACGTGTAGCTCACTCATGTACTCCTGGCTCCCTCCTTGCGGCTATAAAAGGAAGCAGCCAGGGATAGCTCTAAAAAAAGGCGAGAAAACATACGAAAGAACCACGCTCTCACACACGCGCAAGCGACACTCTGTAACACACGCTCCCCCCGCTGCCTGAGAACAAAGCCTCAAGCAGCCCGCACCGCTCCACGCCGAGACCTGAGACTAGCTCCCTCTCTCACCCAGCTTGTAACCCCCTACTACAAGCACCTCGGTGCAAGGAATACAAGATCGATCTCTCAGACTGGACGTAGGGCACCGATTGCCTGAACCAGTGTAAACCTTGTGTCTCTTTGCATCACCATCCGGGATTAGGGGCACGCAGTTCAAGTTCACTGGTTGGTTGAGGACCCCCCGGTCCGAAACACCGACACATAGGGTTACATGCATGCCATTGAATTATGGATTAGGATCAATAGCAGAGTTGCTTGCCTATCACTACGGGAAACCAAAATATTCCTGTGGGTAAGAATCGCCCGACAGAAAAAATATATTTGTCCTGGCGGTTTTCATAAAACGCATAGAAAAATATTAAAACTGATAGAAAAATTACAATTATCCTGTGTGACACCATAGCACCGACAGAAAAAATTGAATTGTTTTGTCGGTCGCTATGGTACCGACAGAGAAATACTAATCGTCATGCGCCTGGAGTCTGATCCGGTACCCAACCTGGGCCTGGGCCTTGACGGCCTTTCAGCCAGCCCGAAAGAGGGCATGCTTAGCCCGCGTGCGTATATAATTCGGTGTGCCCAAACCCTAGCCGCACATAGCAACCCGTCCTGCCACATCCAGCCGCCGCCGCACACAGTTTCTCGTCCCAGTGGCTGCTCCTGCTACTCCTAGTGGTTGGGGCGGCGGATCCGTGACCGTGGCATCCCAATCCAGCTAGCAGAGGCATGGATCTAGGCGGTGGCAGCGGCGGGGGCGCCAGCTGCGAGTAGGACGAGACCACGGCAGCGGTCGGCGTCCGCTACCGTGCGCTCGGAGTGGCGCAGGAGTGTCGCGGAGTGCGCATGTAGAAGAGTTTGGCCTCAGAGTGGCGCAGGATTATGGTGACCACGAAGTGCATCTCGTCTTGGCCAGCACCACACCGTACTGTGGCACTGCTCGCCTTGGGCCCACTCTCTGAGCGCGACTTCCCCGTCGTCTTCACCGCCATGTCCGGCAAGAACCTAGTGCTTTTCCTATTGTGATTTTTTTATCTTCGTTGTGTTCACTTTGCACTCTGTATTTTGCTTTTGTAAAGGTGCTGATCAATTGTCTACGATATTACCTCCGAGGGCCTGAGACAAGATGAAGACAATTATTCATAGTTGTGTTGTCGAACCTTCCTAGTACTCTATTAAATTCAGAAACTTCAAACTTGTGATGCATTTGATTCCTATTACAAGGAATGCTGTGTGACTGTAAGTTGGTACAATCCATTTGCATGTAAAACTCAGTCGTGGGCTGTGCTGTTTTCTGTGATGAATGAAATAAATAAAAGAGCATTCCACATCTAGCCGTGTGTGCCCTTGTAATGTGATAAATGTATTATGTTGCTATATAAATGTTTGAAATTAAATTGGAGATTTTGTGGATTTAAATTAAATTTTTCGATCGACTAATGTATTGGTTGATGGCAAACTGATTTTTCTGACCGTACCGTCACATTTCCCTGTCGGTGACTTAGGACAGGGATATAATTCTAGGCCTGGTTTCCTTAGAATTTTCCTGCCGGTGACCAGAAAATTTTATGTCGACACCAAACCGACAAGAAAACTGGTGAACCGACAAAAAAATTGTTCAACGACAGAAAAAATATATTTCTCTGTCTCCTTAGTTGGAAATTGATTTCCTATTTTTTCTGTCGGTATTTTGTATTTTCGTGTCCGTTTTGCACCGGCAGGGAAATTTTGGTTTCCAGCAGTATGACTGCATATCTAGATAGCCTCTGGCATCCAATCTTTCTATATAATTTTTTTGTGACATAATCGTCTATATCATTTTTCTATTAGTACTTGTTGCTTTCCTTGAAATCCATCCACGTACGTGGCCATACACAAAGCTCCATCTAGGTTATTTTCGTTCCTATAATGTTTTTTGTCGAATTGCCTTGCTTGGCAACAGTTTGGTGGCTATCTTCGGACTTGGTTTTGTTCCATGCAAAAAAGGTCATTGTCATGTTCAACGAAACTTGTACTCATGCATGCATGCATGATCTTGACAATTTTGGGTGTATTATTGATATTACATAGTTTTCCATGCATGTAGCGTCTCAGACTTTGGTTACACAAATTTTCTTGCAAAAAACTAACTTTGGCACTGCAAAGTTGCCCTTTTTCCAGAAAGAAATCAGCAAGAAATGCACGCGGTGGTAATTGCATGAGGTTTAAGTTTGATGGAGCGATTGATTAAGACCATGACAAGATATGTGTGTTTGCACGTTGCGACTGCCTGCTGCAAGTTCCATGTGGCTTTACAAGGTTTGTATACTAGGTTATTACGAGACGATGTAAGTGGCCCTGTCAGTGAATATTATTTTGCATTTCCGGTTTGATTGTATTTTTATGGTTCTCCCCAATTCTAAATTGTAAATTATTTTAGCTTTTCTAGATACATAGAGCATGTATTGGATAGGAAACTGGTGGGAGACTTGCTTGGACCAGGCAGATCACACAGGCGGTTGATTTCCAAACGCCTGAGGCTGAATCTACTTGCCTGAGTGAGCCTCCCTAGGCCAGACCCAAATCAAATAGTCTTACCTTTTGCTATGCACTAGATATGCATTATATCTAAATATATATAGAAAATACACTTGTAATTTATTAGAAATGAGAGAGTATATAATATGCATTCACTTGAAACATGTTGCTGCTAGCTCTCTTTGTCTTGCTTATTTTGGAAACCCATTCGTGGACAAGGTTCTTTGTTCAATTGCCTAGCTATAGCTTGGCAGCTAGCGCCGACTCGTGGCTATCTTTGATCCTCACCAGTTTATTACATGTACACATCATCCACGCAGAAAAAGTGTCGGTCGCGTCGTGTCAAAACCAGTTTTGGATTCCATCCCGGCACATATCTTGTATTTAATTGCTGATGATTCAGCGTCTTTTCAGTAATGGAAATGCTTTCCCCTCAAAAAAAAAAAAAACTAGGACTTATCTTGCTACTGCCGGAAACCAATATTCCTAACTGGTACTATGTAGAGAGAGAAAAAAAGAGAGGCAGATGTCTACTAGAAGAGAGTGATTTAACAGGAATTAATTGCCCATCGTGTACACTGATGAGCGATCGTGCTGCATGTATGTATATATATGTGGTCCTGGCACTCTCTCCTTTGCATTGTTTGTTTCCTTTGGTTGCATCCAGCAGTCACGCAAGGACTTCGTTAGCGTGCCGAAAGCACCTCTCTCTCTCTCCTCTCTCTCTCTCTCTCTCTCTCTCTCTCTCTCACATGCCTGAGCATGACATGGTGTCGCCTAACTGGACCGTCAACTTCTGTGTGGCTGTGGTTCAGCCGTTTCCTTATGCATGTGTTGGTTTCTTTCTGTTGAAGCCTAGATCATAGATGATACTTCCGTGCAAGCTTTAGCTAGCTCGCCTTTGCAGTAGTACAAATCACCGTTTTGTGATCATGAGGTTGCAAGCTGACGTAATCCCACGGACATAAGTAGATAGCTATGGAATCATATCATGTGCCTGATAACGTGTGTAACTGTGTGTAGTTGAACGATTGGTTATGATTTATTTCCAAGGTATTTTTATTATAAAGAAACTCAGCTTGCTCGTTATAAAAAAAACTTAATTAGTATATGCTTTGAGTTTTGGGTGTCTCTCTCTATAAAAGAGGACTATATATGTATAAAGTGTTTTAATTCCATTTTTTTTAAAGTTTCAATGGTGTGAGAAAAAGATGGTGGAGCGAGAAAGGAGTCTATCGTCTTTCGCTTTGCTTCAATTGTTCCAACTCACCATCCAATCTTTCTATATGAATCCTGCACCCAAAAGCGGGCCGGACAGCGATGCCACGTCGCCTATTTTTCCTGGCCGTTCGATCGGGCGCGCGGACGGCCCAGATCGGACGAGCCGCGGTCTTTTTTTAAAAAAAACTCTCTAACTTTAGTTGAATCAACCCGTAGTCCAGACCTCCTCTCAGGTTTTGTTTTCAAAAAAAAGCCTTCAAACTTTACCGAAATCAACCGTCAGTCTCTTCCCCTCCTCCAGCTCCCGTGAAAAGAAAAACACCGCGCCGCCTCCGCCTCCGCCTCCATCTCCCCACCGGCCGTCGTGCCCCCAGATGTCGCGCCCAGCTGCCTCGCCGTTGGCTTCCTTCCTCAGATCCACTTCACCTCCTCCCGTTCCCCAGCCGGGTGCCTGGCGGGCTTCTCGGAAGAAGGACGGAGCGGCTGAGCAAGGCAGAGGTGATGGCCGGTGGCGGCGGCACCTTGCCGGGTTCTTGGGGAGGAAGAACCGGTAAGCACGCCTCCTCGGCCGTGATGCATGGGCCACGGCAAGGGCGCAACCTACCGCGCACAAGCGCGGCCGCCGCCGTGGCAGCGCAGGCGCCAGCCACCAGCGAGGCGGCGCGACCCGCGCTGTCAAGCCGAGCACGGCTCGCATGGGCGTGGTCCCAGGGCAGCCGAACGAGGCAGCGGAGGTGCGGACCACAAGCGCAGTTGCCAGCTATCAGCAAGGCGGCGCGGCCCGTGCGGGCGACCTGAGGGCATATGGAAAAGCTTGTCCAGTCTGCTCACGAGGCATCAACATCCTCCAGCAGGTGAGCCCGTCCAGTCTGCTCGCTGCGGTTCCCGACGAGACCAGCCTCATCAGGCGCTCGTACTCCCGAGTCCCGCCTCCCCGTGTGCTCTGCCTCCACTGCTATTTCGTGCAGCTGAATTGTTCCATATCAACAGTAATGTGTAGGAGAACAGTCATGAGAGCGCACGCAAGGTGCTTGGCGAAATGCCAGCAAGCTGAGGTTGCTGTTACCGGGAAGAATATTTTGCACAAGGTCTGCTCCTATTCCATCTGTCAGTAAGCACCCAAAACCAAAGGTTCGCATCTTTGTATTGCTTCAAAAAACTTCCTCAATCAAATTAATGGCTTAATATATCTATTGCAGTTCATTCCATGGGCATGGCACTTCCAGACAAACAATATTGTCAAGTGATTGTTTCCATTAGTGAATCATGTCTTGTTAGTAATTCTTGCAATGCAACTTCATATGAAGATTAAGTGATGAGTAGGTTTCACTGTAGGATGGCAGAGGCAAGCAGAGGATCCAAGAGAAATGCTTTAACACAGTATTGTAATGAGATCAAGGAAGATGATCGTTCAAGAGTGTACAGGTGAGATATCGGTTTTTGATCTCTTAGGGTTACATGGAGGCAAATCAGTATATCATAGACATTATCCACGTGTCCAAACAGAAATATCAAATGATGCTATTTTAGGTTGTAGAAACAGCCTGTTTATCAGGTTGTGTCAACCTATTATAGGATAAGGCGTATGCATGAAATGGTCCTGAAATTCTTTTTTTGCATAGTTTAAGTAGCAGCCTGGGACTAACACCAGTAAGTGTATACCCTATTGCAACAAATATACAATTCTACTCTCATCATAGTTCCTTTGCTCTAATTTATAACTACTTATGTAATATCCTAACAGGATAACCTTAAAAGAGTAGTATTCCTGGCATCATCACTAATGAAAACTGTCAATTCTCAACATTTGCAAACCTCATTTTTTATAGCTTATGCGTTAATGTTACCAGGATTTTATCCTTATTCCTAACAAAAAAAATATTAATGAAACAGGAGGTTGCTAACTTGGTACAGATTGCAGCTCAATTTGAATCAGCAACGGAAGGAGAAAACAATTATGAATATGTTGACATGTTTCAATCTTGAATAGTATATGACTGAAAAGTGACAGGCTCAGGATAAACCGGATCAGAGCTTACAGATACAAGCTGGCCCTTCACCGAAGAGCGCGAGAACGCCGCGCGTCTTTCTAGTGAAGTCCATAAAGTGACTAGATGGACCTGGTCCACCAGGTTGATGCTTACACTCAAAACAGTGTAGATCTAGACATATGTATTACTGCATTGAATTGTACTCCAATTCAACCTCTTTAACTATAATAATAAGACCCACTAAAATGTAGGCTGTCCAGAAATTTAATCTGTTTTTTTAGAAAAGGGAGTTTCTTTTGGTCTCTGCAAGGGCTTTGTAAGTTTATCAAGCTATGTAAGTGAATAGTGAGTATATGTATTCCATTTCTCTTTTATCATAACATTCTTTATTTTGCCATTATGTTGTCTCATTTGGACTACATGCAATACTACAAAGATACATACAAATATAGTATAATTAAAAAAGTAAGAGTTAATTAGATGCCATATCATCATGTATATATACTCCATCATAACTCTATCTCCTAAGTTGAAACATAAAAGAAAATAAAAAGGGAAACAAAATAAGAGCATCGACCTCTTTGTTCCGTCGTCACTATAGACAAGAGAGGGGGTTAATAAGAATATAAAAGGTAGAGGTCTACAAAAACAAGTCAAATCAAATCTGTTTGTTCCTTCGGCCCTGTTCGGCTGCTCCTTCGTTAGCTCTTCCAGAAACTTCTTCACCTTTAATTAATAGATAATATATAAATCTTTCTTTAGTCCCCATCCTTGGTAACATCCCATTACAGACAGTGACCTTCTTTAGTTCAATTCGTTATTAGTTAGTCGATCCACTTTAATTTGCACAATGAGGAATAGCAAGAAAATGGAAACATCTTTCCTTGACTTAAAGCTAACTAGTAGCTGAAATAGACCGCCAATTCACATTTGTCTTTTTCTTTAGCAAGGATAACCTTTATCTCTATGAAATTTGCCTTAAGGGCTTCTTTGTTGGCAGTGGGTGGATATTCCGGTGATAAAAAAAAAGGATCCAATAGTTCCGATATTGCAAAGTGATATTAGATTTTGTTTCTGAGAAAACATTCAGGTACCAAAATTCAAGTCCGGTATACCCAATGTACCGAATTTGACAAAACTAGCAAAAGAAAAAATCAATGGCATTTTAAAGCAGTTGACAACAATTTTTGCCAACATTTGATAGAGAAATATATTTAATCAATCACACAGCTAGCAAATACCAAAATATCAAATAGCATATATGTCTTCGACAACTACATGAATGTTATCCAAATAGATAAACATATACATTCATACACATCATAGATCACACAAACATAAATTTCAGATATTATATATGGACAATTCAGGTACGGGGATCACTATCCAAAGTACCTTAATTAAATTCATATATAGGGCTTGTTTGATAGGGATTCAGATTCACCGGATTCGGATTCTTGAACTTGGATCCACCAAAAATTTCCCAAACACTCTAGATACACCAAATCCGGATTCACCAAAATGGTGGATTAGAGGCTGGATTCACCATTTTTGCGGATCTCCTCAGGGGTGTTCCACCAAACTGAGTTTAGTGGATTTGGGAGAAATTACCCATCACCGCCACTCATTACATAGCAAACGATTCATTCTTTTTTTCTTCCGTGTCTTCCCGTCGAGTCTTCTTCCCCGTCCGTCCGCTTGCCCGGCCCCACTACGTGCTGCCCCGGCCACGAGGGAGCTGCCCCACCGCTGCGGAGTTGTCTCGGCCACGAGGAAGCCATCGCCCGTCCGCCGCACAAGCTCCCCCTCTACCTCCCGCACCCTTATGCCACCGGAGCCCCGTCTGCGCGCCATGGTCGGCGAGCATCCGTCCACGAGCGCCCAGCACCTCCCTCCTCGCCGGCGCCTCCCTCTCCCACTCCGCCAGCCCAGCGCCCCTCTTCCCCTCCCCCACCTCCTCGCCGGCTGCCGGTCGTGCCTGGACGCATGCCGCCGCGAGCCCGGCCACGCCTCCCTGCTCGCAAGCTCCACCCCCGCTCCCGCGAGGCCATGCCCGTGAGCTCCCACGAGGCCGAGCCTGGCCACCGTGGCCCTGCTCCGCGCGCCCTGCGCATGTCCGCCGTTGCCGCGCTCAGCGAGGCCGCCTCCCCGCTGAAAAGTCCTAATGGCTAGAGGAGGGGGGTGAATAGCCTATAAAAATTTCTACAACAACACTAAACAAAGTGGTTAGACAATTATGAGGTGAAGCAAATGTTGCGCTAGCCTACTAAAATGCAAGCCACCTACCACAATTCTAGTCTCTATGATCTCTAGGCACACAATGGTTATGTCACTACACTAAGTTAGTGAGCTCTCAATAAACTAACTAAAGAGACTCACTAACCACTAGATACGACACAAGCTAGCTCTTAAAACTAATTACACTAAAGAGCTTAGCTACACTATGAATGTAAATACACAAGTGGTTGAGATGTTTATGCCGCCGTGTAGAGAGGTGTGCCAATCATAAGATGAAGCCAATCAATTACAATAGAGTCCCGGTGACAAGAGGTGACACAATGATTTTTCACCGAGGTTCACTTGCTTGCCAGCAAGCTACTCCCCATTGTGGAGATACACTCACTTGGAGGTTCACGCGCTAATTGGCATCACACGCCAAACCCTCAATAGGGTGCCACACAACCAACACAAGATGAGGATCACACAAGCCACGAGCAATCCACTAGAGTACCTTTTGCCTCTCCACCAGGGAAAGGTCAAGAACCCCTCACAATCACCACGATCGGAACCAGAGACAAGCACCTTTCTCCGCTCGATGATCCTCACTACACCAAGCCATCTAGGTGGCAGCAACCACCAATAGTAACAAGTGAAATCCGTAGCGAAACAATCATACCATGTGCCTCTAAATGCAATCACTCAAGCAATGCACTTGGATTCACTCCCAATCTCACAAAGATGATCAATCTATGATGGAGATGAGTGAGAGGGCTTTTGCTAATCTCACAAGGTTGCTATGTCAATGCAAATGGCCAAGATAGTGAGCTGGAGCCAGCCATGGGGCTTAAATAGACACCCCCTCGAAATAGAGCCGTTGGGCTCTCACTACAGCCCTAACTCGGGGCAACCGGACACACCAGCCTCAGCATCCGGTCACCGATCACTGTCCATGTGTCCCCTACGTTCAACCTCGCGCGTACGATTTCAACGATCAACTCGCTTCCTTGCGCGTGTTAAAGAATGACCGAACGCACCACAGTCCAAGACTAGACACGTCAGTGCCAAGTCAGCCATGCATGCGTTCCACTGCTACGCCGTGACCGGATGCTCTGCTGAGATGACCGGACGCATCTACGCCTAGAGTCCAGTCACTTCTAGAGAGGTTCCAGAGCGGCCAAATCGTGACCGGACGCGTCCGGTGCATCTCGACCGAACCCTTCACAGCATCTGGTGCAATACCCTAGGTTACACTGCCTCGGCCTCTACTGAACGGACTCACAAGCATGCATCCGGTCACTGCGTGAGCAGCGTCCGGTCACTGAAAATCAGTGACAATCACCTCCTTTACTTCACTAACTTCTCCACCCTTGCTCAAATGTGCCAACCACCAAGTGTATCACCTTATGCACGTGTGTTAGCATATTTTCACAAACATTTTCAAGGATGTTAGCACTCCACTAGATCTAAATGCATATGCAATGAGTTAGAACATCTAGTGTCACTTTGATAACCATATTTCGATACGAGTTTCACCCCTCTTAATAGTACGGCTATCGATCCTAAATGTGATCACACTCAATAAATGTCTTGATCACCAAACCAAAAAAGCTCCTATCAAATTTCACCTTTGCCTTGAGCTTTTTGTTTTTCTCTTTCTTCTTTTCTAAGTCCAAGCACTTGATCATCACCATGGTCACACCATCATCATGATCTTCACCATTTGCTCCACACTTGGAATAGTGCTACCTATCTCATGATCACTTTGATAAACTAGGTTAGCATTTAGGGTTTCATCAATTCACCTAAACCAAACTAGGGCTTTCAATCTCTACCTTTTTGGTAATTGATGACAACCCTTTCACAAAGATATGAATTAAAATTCAATTGAACTCATGTTGCTTGCCCAAGCATATTTACCATGTGTAAAAGGATATGGACAAGTTTCATGAACCCTAATTGGTGGCAATTGCTCCCCCTACATATGTGCTAAGAGTTTGGATTGAAGCTTGCACATATGCTTAGATAGGAAATGTCAG